TGGTTTGAGCATTTTGAGTATTGATTGTCTCCTGGTTTTCAATGAATACATGCAATGTTTCCTCAATATTTCTTCTAGGAGGTGGAACATAAGGAGGTGTATATCAATGAGAATTTTAAAAATTATAGTGTATTTGAAATGGTGGCTGTGATGTTTGTGCATTATCGTTATCACTCTTCCAACTGAAATTTGGGTGATTTCTCCAACTAGAGTTGTATGTTTACGAGTATGAGTTATGATTGGGCCTTTGAAAATTGTTTAAAGCATGAGTTACAAGAAGGGAAAAACTTCTTTAAAAACTGTTGTTGTATTTCATCTTAAGCACGAATTGATCCTAGTCTCAAATTTTGTAACCATATTTTAACTTTATCTTTTAATGAAAAAGGAAAAAGCTTTAATTTGATTGTGTTCATGCTATAATTTAAGTTATTATAGGGGTTACAGACTTTCTCAAATTCTCTTAAATGCAAGTATGAATTTTCTAAACTTAAGTCATGAAAAGAAGGTGAAAGTTGAATAATGTCTAGCTTAAAATTAAAATGAGATGCATCAGAAGATAAAACTATACATGATGGTGTACTTGTTCTTATAAGATTCATGTAGACTCTAAGTGTTTTAACTCGATTATTCTCATTATGAAATGACCGATTATCTTATTCGGCTATATTTTTTTAAAAATGATAAGGATACCTTACAAAGTCTATCACTTAATGTACGTGACCAAACTCTCATGCACGTGTAAGAAGAGAATAAAAGGAAAAAGATAATAAAAAGAAGAAGAAAACAAAACAAAAGAAACAAAAGTTAGATACAAGAACAGTGAAAAAATAAAATAAAATAAATATTATAATTTATATAGGAATTTACCTCCCCAACAATGGCGCCAAGAACTTGATATGATTAAAGAGTTAATATCTTCTCCCAAATATAGGAGTGTTGAAGTAATAAATAAACCGGCAAAACTAGGGTTGAAATAGAGAAAGATTAATTATATAAATTATAAATAATAATAATAATAATAATGGTGGTGGTGGTGGTGGTGGTGAGTTAAAGAAGACTTTGAGATGTAAGATTAATGTGATGATTAAACAATGATAAAAACAATTGTCAAGGTTAGAGGATCTACTAATGGTATTTCAAATAAGTATAATATAAATATTATTTATTACTCAACTGGAAACCAACACAAAGGAGGTCCAATTGGATGATTTGTCATTAATAGCTTATTATAAATTATTAATATGATCATATTAATTATCTTATTTAAGTAACACCAAACTTTTAAATATTGTTAGGAATTCATGATGCTAACTTATGTTAACAATAAATCAAGGTCTTTTCATAGTATAGGTGTAGGTTATATCATACGATTGGTTGTGAAAGTGCTAAGTATTTGTTGTACCAAGTGTTATACAACATAAATTTAGATTAATCATTTAACAAGCAAGGTATTAAGAATTGATAAGATAAAAATAATAAAACATGTTAATAGCAAATTGTTTATGATATAATCATTGAAGTCTATATTGAGTTTATATTATACTTATCCTAACATCATTAGTGAAACCTTTTCACTTTGATATAATAAACTTAGCTAAATATAATAAAGAAGAGAAACATAAATAAATAAGAGGAGAATATGATTATATAAGTATAGTAAAGGAAATGAAAGGTATAAACAAGAGATTAATGAAAACAAAACTTAAACATTATAAAAATATAAAGAAAGAGAGTAAGAACATGATCTTGATCTAAAAACCAAGATGCCTAAATATATGGCAAATGCTTTCTTTTATAGGTCAAAATTCAAAACCATTAATTTGATGACTAATTGTTGAGTGGGTGACCATCTCTTGTCTTGGTGACAATCCTTATCTTCTTGTCTATCAAAAATATCATTGCTAACATCAGAATTTGAATAGATAATCTTCAAGAAAGTGCTGGGAAATTGTATCAGCTTTCCAACAAAATAAAAATGAGGTCATTTGGATTTTTAGAACTCGAGATATGCGTTAAACACTGAACAGTATCTGGGCCGTATGACAGATTTTGACTTCACTGTTGTTGCAATAATTTAAACTTGAAAACGGTCCTTTTGAATTTTGGACTCTCATGAAAGTTTTAGACATATGTCTTAATTTTATATTAATATAAACCATACCTAAATCCAAGTTCAACAGCTCCAGTTATGATCCAATAACCGAATGGTATTTTAATTTGAATTCAATTAGCATCTCTTTTTTAAGTTTAGGCCTCTATTTGTCTTCTCAATTTTAGTAGTGAGCTACAGATCTCAGATTTAGGTCCAATTTATATGGATGGAAAGGTAAGACATAGGCCTACAACTTTCATATGGAGCCCAAGATCTAAAAAGGCCATTATCAAGTCCAAATTGTAGCAACAACAAAGAAGCCCGAATCTGTCTTCCAGCCCGAGCACTGTTCGGTATTTTGGCCATATCTGGAGTTCTAGAAGTCCAAATGAGCTGAATTTTTTACACAAGAAAGCTGAGACAATTGCCTACAACTTTCATGTTTGCAACTGGCTCCAGTTTTGACGTTATCAATGACGTTTTGGGCAGACAAGAGAAGATAAGGATTGTCACCAAGTCAAAAGTTGGCCACCCACTTATCAATTAGTCATCAAATCAATAGTTCCCAATTTTGGCCTATAAAAGGAGGTATTTGCCATGCATTTAGGCATCTTGGTTTCCAGATCAAGATCATGCTTTTCCTTTCTCTCTTTGTATTTTTTGTAATGTTTATGCTTTGCTTTCATTAATATTAAGTTTATGCCTTTCATTTCCTTTCCTTTACTTAGTTAACTTTTATGTTCTTATTTTGTTTATCTATTTTGCTTTCTTTCATTATGTCTAGCTAAGTTAGTTATGTCAAGGTGAAAAGGTTACACTAATGGTGTAAGAATAAGTATAGTGTAAACTTAATATGGACTTTAATGTTTGATACTAACATGTTTTGTATTTGTTATCTTGTTCACTCTTTAATACTTTGCTTGTTAAATGATTAATCTTGATTTATGTTGTATAACACTTGGTACAACAAATGCTTGGCACTTTCATAGCCTATAATGTATGGTATAACCGACACCTGAGTTATGAAAGGAACTTGATTTGTTGTTAACATAAGTTATAATCATGAATGCTTGACGAGATTTACAAGTATTAGCATTAATCGAATAAGATAACTAATGTAATCATGTTAACAATCTATAATCTAATTGAAACCTCCTTTGTGTGTGGCATCACCTTAAGTTCGGTGACAATTACTCATGCTATTTGTGGCTGGTGCTGGTTCTTTTGCCCCCCCGCCACGCCACCCCCCCACCCCCCCTTTTTTTAGTGTGATTATCATTATTTTTTTAAATATATTTAATTAATATTTTTTATTTTTAAAGAATTATTTTTAACATATAATTTAAAAATACTAAAAAAATATTAATTTGACATAAATAAAAAAATAATTTTTTCAAAAACATTTTTAAAATAGAAAAAAAAATAAGGGTAACTTGGCTGGCTTTAAGTGACTTCAGGTCATCAATACTTAATTTTTAATTTTAATTTTGTAATAGTTAGACATACTTTTCGTTTGCTAAGACTTTCTTAATATAAACAATCTTTTAAAAGTTAATTTTAATAAGATACGAATAAGATACGTCAAACAAAAGTTTAGAAAAACAATTGCAATAAAGAAAACCAGGGGAAGGGGGACTCAGAGTATTCCCATTCATGCTCTTTAACAAGGCTCCTCAGCTATAATAGCTGACACATACGTTTATTTTTCATAGCATTTTTGCTCCTTATGTCATGTATATTTCACAAATTATTTTGAGATTATGCATGGATTTTCTAATTTTATTTTGATGAACAAGTTCCAAAGAGGTGAACTAATTAAATTATTGATCTCATTTCTTCTTCCTTTATTTATTTTTATTTTATTTCAAAATCAATCCTACCTTATTTCAAGATGATCTCCTAATTATTTCTTATGCATTATTGTCTTTTTACAAGTTTGATTTTATTATATGTTTAATAAAAATGTTTTCAATACACAAGTTATTTTTTCCTTATTTTTTTGTAAGTGGTTGAGTGCTTAATTTTCTTGTTTAAGCTATCAAGTACGAATATCACATCTCTAATTGATGGATTTTCATGTATTATCTACCTATTTATCTATGATAATTTATAGGCTATACGAGAATTATATAATAGAAAATAAATAGAGGATATTTTTATATATCTTTTTATTATTTATTTAGATTTTCTTCCTTTTCTCTTTGATGAAGTATGCTTAACTAGATTTGTCGTTAAAGATTGCTCCGATTATATACCCTTTAGAGTTGTGCCCCTTGTCTGCTTAGTTGCTTATCGCCTTGCACGATGTACGAACAATTTCCCTTTAATTTAATTTTTAGTTTGAGAAGAACAAAGACATTTGAATTTTTGTAAAAATAATAATTTTTTATCATATTCTTTTATCCGAGATTCTTGGTTGCATGTTGTTATCACTTGCACGCACATATATATATAGATCTTTAATCGGGTTTCCTTCTTGCTATCATATCCAATAAGCTTAGATAGATGAACATAGAAAGAATACGAAGTGTGTGTGTGTGTGTAACGCAGCCTGTAGAATATAGGAAAATATTTGGGATGTCCCGCGTTGCAGTGATGAAGCGTATCAGCTCTAATCATGTATTAAAGGGAAGTATGACATATATCCTAAATTATATTAATACTCCTCCGAAGGAAAATGAAAAAAAAAATCCACGCAGCTACAAAATCGTTGCCGGTCTCTTAAGCTCCGGAAGAACTAATGATGAGCAAAGAAAAGCAGAATAACAACAGCGTTACAGTGAGCTCATTCTATGGGAGAACTAAAAATGGAAGCAGGGAAACAAGCATGGCATGCATTGGCACCATTATCCGATCTGAATAAAGAGCAAATTCAATACCTTCCAAGGAAAAATCACGTTGAAGAATCTGTCAAAAGATGTGCTGACAAAACAGTTTATATCTGCTCCACAGAAAAATAATTATTTGTGTCGTGATGGTGCAAGTAATTAATGTTTACATCGTGGATTCTGTAAATCAAGGAAGCACATCATGAAATATACAGTAACAGCAAAATAACAGAACAGTGAAATTTATGTCACTCAGAATTTGCAGCAAAGAAAACGCATTCTCCAACGATGATGCCTTTGAAATTGTCCTTGGTCAGTGCTTGCCATTCTTTCAGGACTGCCAGCCCATTCTGAGGGCAATCTACACAAAAGCGAGCACAAGGATTAACAAATTAGTAGAGTGACTGAGAAAGAAAAATAAATAGGATTTACATTCGGGAAAGCATTAACATTTGAGCATCAACACAAAAAACAAAGGATTTACATGGGAAACGCAAACGAATGCGAGCTGACACTTCCACAATATATAGGACCTTCGGAGTAGGTCAGGCCTGGAGGGGGATCAACTGCAAAGAAACTCGACTCTCCTTGAACATTCTCATCACCCAAACTTCGACTTGAACTTGTTAAGGTTCCTGACATCCCATCTTCAGGCTTGGACATGCTTTCAGTTTCAACGACCAGTTCAAAATCTGCCTCTGTGTTGCTTATTGTGTCGTCCACCTCATTTCTGAAGGTGGTTGCACTCGTAGGGCAGTCATAATAAACTTCTTCAGTTGTGTATAATACAATGGAGCTTGACAGTATTGCTTCCTTACATGGAACCTATAATTTCTAAGAAATCCCATGTCAAAATTTATGAAAGGGTGCCAAGGATCTGTATCAGCTCTATGAACATGCAGGAAAAATATCAGGCTAAGCAAGTAGTGTCTACTCTAGCGGACAGCAACTAAACATGGTGTGTCACCAGCTCCAGCTATGACAAAATCCAAACTCAATAGATACAGACATTATTCTGCTTCACAATCCTGTGAATCGAAACATCATTATTGCCCAAGTTGTAAGGCAACAGTACCCACGCATGTCTTAAAGCTAGTTCTTGCCGTCCACAACAACCAGCATTGCAAGATAACACAAACCTATCCTCTCTGCCTCTCTCTCTCTCAAACACACGCACATCATCATCATCATCATCATCATTCGAAGTAAGCAAAAGTCTATGGGATACAGTACTAACTGATGTGCTATCAAAATCTAATCTAGTTGCTTTCATGCTTCAGGAAAAGCATACTCTTCTGATCTGGAATCAAACTGCTCAAAATCTAATCTAGTTGGTTTCATGCTTCAGGAAATGCTTAAGAAACTACATACAATTCTAGGAATATACTGTTCCTGGAAACCATATAGCTGAACCATCGATGAATCCATCCACATTAACCTAAAATGATCAAAAAGATATACAAATCGAGGTTTACCAAATTTTAGCCTTTTGTTCAACCTCGTGTCCATTGTTATCGAATGTTTAAAGTGTGTACAGAAGTGATCACTGACCTTTTTAACCATATGAGATCCGTGTACGTTCTTTTCTACCGAAACATATTCTTGTCCATCAAAATCTTTCATCGACATTCTGGAACCATGTTGATTAATCAAAAGATTATGGCAGTCATCATCTGCCACATATTTTGACTCATTTGAAATGGATGGAACTGAATCCTGAGTTCCAACGGTTGATGTACTGCTACTTTCTACATCAAAGTTAAGTATGGAAGAGATACTATTATGGTCTAATTGGCAATTTTCGACGGAACAGATATCCTCGCAGTGAACTTCTCCATTCATGAAAATGTCCTTCACAAAATGATAATTGCTGTCTTGAAAAAAGGCAACCATCTCTGGCATGTCAGAATCCATCACATTGCTTTTAATGTAAATCTTCCTTCTTCCTCTACTTTCTTCCAATTCACTGAGGCTGGTTGGATATTCTGTTCCATGTACAGGATTCACCCAAGCCATAATGGCATCTACTCCTGATTGGTTTCTGGCCACTGCTTCTCCCTTCTGTCTCTGTAGTTCTAAAGCAGTACCCTTATCCCCTTCTAATCCTCTTATCTCCCGAGAGTTGTCGATGAATTTGAAAGACTTGTAATGAGGCTTACTGGCCATGGCTGAACACCCACACGTGGATTCACTGGCTGGACGTGTTGTATATATTGTCAGTGCAAATGATATAAAACTAAAGAGGGAAAGAATAATTTTGTAAAACTAATAAATGCAGGGGAAGGTTACTGGAGTAACATGTTTTACTCAAAGAGGATCCGTTTTCAGTTTCTCCTCATCCTTCACCGATTACCACACTCCGATTGGCAGTATGTACACATCAGTTATACATGCAAAAGCATGTCAAATCCTAAAAAGTATTTATCAAATTCTAAGCATTTAGAAGTTATAAGATATTGTGTTGGATCTTATTTATGCTCCAGGAGTTGATATCAAGTAGTGAAATTCATACCTAAGCATTTAGAAATTATAAGATATTGTGTTGGATCTTATTTATGCTCCAGGAGTGGATATCATGTAGTGAAATTCATACCTTGTCTTTCATCAACATGCTCCATGTCTAATCCTCTTTGGAATGGAGTGTTTTTGCTGTTGCGCAATCTGCCTCCTTAAGAAGTCCAGGATAATCTAATTCTTCGATGATACATATGCAATTAGGTGAATGATACGTAATGATTTGAAGGGTAGTGGAGAACTTACTTGAAATGATGCTAGAAGAAAGAAAAATTGGTGCAGAAATGATTGAAGGACTAGTAACTAGATGCTCAGTCGACTTGTACTTGTTGCTTCTTCCACCTAAACCAGAATTAATAGATTGTCAGAGGCAGGATTCATTAAGTCGATGAGCTTCTTGCTTTCTTGAGGAGGTAGCTTTGATGGTACAAAGAATTACATATATTCTTCTCAATAGGTAGCATCTTACACGATAAATTTCAGAGATAGAGCATCTATCATCATTCCCCTTTATAAACTTTAAATACAGTCATGGTAGAAAAGGAAAATGAGGCCAAATACAAGCAAACCGAGGCCGCTGTCAAACAATACCCAATGTAAAGTAGAAAATTTCAAATAGTGCTGGTGGTATGCTTCAGCAAAAACACATTGTTCTGTGCATGCAATGCTCCCCAAAAACTAGTGCAAAATAAGTCAATATGAAAACAGATCATCATAGAAGCCAGTTCAAGTTAAAAAAGAAACAAAAAAATCTCACAGGGCATTAGATCTGTCTCCAAAGTAATTAGTCAGTTACATCTCTCTATAAAGAGTCATTTCTTTCAATGCCTCCACTGCATTGAACAAAATTAAGAAATTGAGTTTTCATAACATTGTCACTGCGACCACTCTAATCTGTAACCAAAGAAGCAAGAAGCAAATATATACCAAAAAGAAGAAAAGGGAACAATTTGGGTCCTTACTGATGTATGCAGAAGGACATTACTCAGATAAAGAAAGAAATAAAATGAGAACTCACGTTGATTGAGGCATGAAGCATGATTGCTCGTATTATGCCAAGAGTTAAGGCTTTGATGCCGAAGAAATTAAGTAACATTCACCTAATTGACTTGCATTATAGAAAAAGATTGTTTTTTAATGTGATTTATACAGGAAGGGAAATGACATTCCGGCCATTGTTATTCAAAAACGGTAGAACAAAGGCAGCCATATATTGAAGGAAGGAAGATTCCTTCAAAAAGCAGGAGGATTATACTGCAATTTGAAGTCTTGAACACAGAATGCATGAAAAGGTGAAACGGCAGTCTTTGTTCTCCTTTATCATATGGAAAATTCGACAATACGCAACAGGAAAACCAATAATAAAAAATTAACGATTGATCAGGGAGGACTTACAGGCTAAAAGTTCAACGTCTTTCCGTATCCTCTCTCTGGCAAGCTAGCCTTGAGAAATGCAAGCCCTTGCAACCGAAGATAACAACAAACCAATATGAATCAGCAGCAGGCAAACTCATTATTAGAAATAAACGTTATCCTGCCTCTGAAGCCAAAAGAGAGAAAGGAAATAATTAAATGCCCCCAAAAGCTTCAGAGAAGAGAAGCATCAAGTCATGGAGGGTAAGTATTGGGATAAAAAAAAATAGCTTTCTTTGGCACAACAATGAAGGAATGCAATAAGCATGACAGCCCATCACAAGATATTTGTGATTTAATATACCACAAGAGGTTTTTCAAGATTTTTTAACTCTCAAGAACTCATGAATTCAGCATGAAACTAGCCAATCACAATCTTCCTGGACCAAGACACCCATGTTAATTTTATCTTATAAGAACATCGATGCGCTGATCTGTGTCTATAATTCCTGAACCTGTCGTGTTTAAACTGAGGTTTGCTCCTTTGACTGCCAGAAAAAGATATTATGATTGTCCTGTTCTAGTTGTTTTTTTTTTTTTTTTCCATGTGTGCGCGAGCTACTGCATCGCAAATGTCACCCTCTATCGGCTCTGGAAACAGACAATGAAAAGACACTTGTATATAATATAATGGCCTGCCTTGGATAAATTTGGAAGGGTGGACCTAACTTTCCTGTCATTAAAAGAATAATAAAAATTGATTCAAGCACACCACCTAACCTGAGAGGGAATGTTTTTCTTTTTTCGTGATACTCCTTGCTGGAGCAAGCAACTTTAGGTATTTTTGTTTTTTACAGGTGTTCTTGTTGGAAAATAGAAGAGCTCGAGGCTCGAACACGCCTGTTAGTTTAAAGGGGACTTAATCAGATTCCGGAATTGGAAGAAGAGAGCGCGTAGTGTTGTGGCTGCTTCAATAATATATTCTCATCAGCAGAACGAGTAGAAGAAAGTGCTGCCATGAACTAACAGAGAAGCAAAATAAAAAAATAGAAGAAGCACAGTGACAGGGTGAGCAAATTAATAATATATATATATATATATATATATAGCTGAGCACCAGCACACCAGTTACCTTCTCCTTGCCCCCAAGATCAAATTAATATATATATATATTTATATCCCATGGACCCTTCTGCCACATTAAATTCAAGAAGCGGTTAGACCGAAGGTCGTTGTGTTAAATGAGCAGTTGAGCTGATAGATAGCAGCACTTGTCACATCAGCATATTACACTCTTCTTAAATTCTAAATAAATAATCATAAAACCGTTACTTGACCACCCAACAGATATTACCTTTTCCATTTAATAATTCAATAGTGAGTTATCATTGGGTGACGAGAAATTCTCTCACACGAAAGCAAAAATGAATCGTTTTTTCAAAACTCTCATCACCTGGCCACCCCTCTCGACATATGGCAGCTTAATTGCATCGAACTTCTTGCTTGTATCCATGGCTTGAGACAGGTTAAGTCCTGCAAACTTAATCGGTCAAAACAATATAATGTTGGAAAAATGTCTGAGGTATAAGAAGGAAAAACACAAACTTGACCAAGGAAGAAAAACAAACTTCAATCACAACATGTCGTGTGAATCAGTAATCATATTATGCCCTCAAAGCTATGGCCCTGCATTTTTCATTCTTACTCAAGGGATCGGAAGCTTGGATGATAAGATGATAAAATAAATTGAAATGGCTTTATCTCATACACACACGCGCAGCGTTACCAAAATCTATTATGCTCAAAAATAAAAATATTGAGTTTTTAAATAAAGGATGATCACTTATTCATTTTTACACTTCCTCCTCTAGAGTTCATAAGAAATCAAAGTCTGAATGTGTCATCTTTTCTAACCATCAACTTTTATTTTCCACTTCCATGAAACCTTCCAAACTCAATTTTCTAGCCCACAACTCTTTTATCTTTTGTTTACTTGGGATGCATATTTTTTATTTTTTTATTTTTCTCAACATGTCATATATTTTTAAGCAGGCTTTTTCTTCACTAGTGTTTTTTTTATTATTATTAAGTCTAATCATTTCATCAACAAATAAAGAAATCAAATCTAGTAGAGTTCAACCATAAACTATTTTAAATAATGAATGTTTTTTTAATTTAATAGATTAACAACACATAACGATTTTTTTATAACATATTAAAGAGAAATCATAAATTCTCAATATACTCACCTAGATTCTTACTATGAATATCATCAAAGTAATCAATAATAAAGCTACCTATAAATTCTCACAATATATGATTCATCAATCTCATTAAATTACTATATGCAATAGTTAGACTAAACAACATGACTAACAATTCAAACAATTCATATTTAGTTTTAAAGTTAATTTTTCCTCCATCTCCTTCTTTCATCTTAATTTGATGATAATCAATTTTCAAATCAATCTTATTAAACAACCTTATCTAGGGTAATTATTTGCATTACTCCAATCCAAGTGCCAGTCCTTATATCGAGATAACTAGCTTTTCATTCTCAATTTGAGTGCTAGTCACTAAATCAGAATAACTATGTTGACATGCCCAAACCGGGCTTAGTTAAATCAAATGAACTAACTCGATATGCCCAAACCAAGCATTAGTCCTTAAACTATAATAACTAGCTCAAAATGTTATTCTAGAACATGAATTTGAAATTAAATGAGATTTCAATAACATGCTTAACTTTGAATAAAGAATAAAAAATGTTATGGAGTCTAACAATAACATGACGAAAAAATTGATGTCTTCTCCCAAGTGCAGGAGTGTTAAAGTAATAAATAACCCAACAAGACTGGGATCGAATCACAGGAAGGTTAATTGTATAAATTATAGATAACACAATAATAATACAACAACAACAATAACAACAATAATAGTAACAATAATAACAATAGTAGTAGTAGTAGTAGTAATAAAGAAGAAGAAGAAGTTGATGAGAATTTTAAGATAGAAGATTAACATAAGGATGAGACAATTATAACAACAGATGTCAAGGTTAGAGAATCCACTAATGGTATTTCAAACAAGTATAGTATAGGATCCACTAATGGTATTTCAAACAAGTATAGTATAGGATCCACTAATGGTATTTCAAACAAGTATAGTATAG